AATTTTGGGAATAATGAGGGCAACAAATGTATAGATGTGCTTTATACAATTGATGTATGTATTGTGATGAATTGTATGAGCCCCAATAAATTGATTAAAAATAATAAAATTTTTTTTAAAAATAAAAAAAAAACAACAATAAAAATAAAATAAAATAAGGTTTTAAGGACGGACAAGTATCCTCTCAATCAAAAAGGGTCAGCGGCCCCTTAGCCCTCCGCGGCCCCCCTGCACCCAGACGGGAAGATGAGCGCGCTGCGGGAGCCCGCTGACTCGTTAGGAAAAGCAGAAAACGTGCTGGGCCCCAAGCCGACTCCGAAGGAGACCAGGCAAGGCAAAGCTAGACGGGCCATCTTCACCTACAATGGCCTGGCCTCGAGGACATCAGAAATCGAAGGCCACCCCATGTTGGCTCAAACTGGGGTCCACCACGACCGCGGGCAGGACATCAAAGCGGGCACTGAGTTCCGATGGTGCCACAGCGGATGCCCACGGGCTGTCGCCGGTCCCGGTGATTCCGATGGCATTAGAAGCACGTCAGAACAGACACATGGAAAATAAACCCTGCGACCTTTTTCTCTAATCCAGCTGGCCAGGGCTTGCTTGTTTGTTTTTACAGGTGAACAGCAAAAGTTCATCGTAAATAAAACATGGCATAACAAGTGAAGGTTTCAGTTTATAAAATCACTGCCCAATTGCAGGGAATTAGGGAACATCTTTCTTTTCCATGAGCATTAACAAATTTTGCTTTGTTTTTAATACAGAGGAGGAGTCAATGTGAAATCAGGAGGTGCCTGAATTTTCCAAGAGTGAAATCTAAACTTTAAAAATATCGACTCATCCCAACAGCCAATGTGCTGCATGTCCATTGTCGACCGTGTGCTAGGACTGTGTTGTAGAAGACATAAAAGGATACACCATCTTCTCTGCTTTCCCGCAGTTACAGAAAAAAAATGCCCCACTGCAGAAAAACATATGTGAAGGCAAAGGAGGGAGATAGGGTGTCATCTAAGAAAAAAAGAATGGAGTGTGTGTGTGTGTGTGTGTGTGTGTGTGTGTGTGCTTATGAAGATGGCAATTTCACTAAAGAGGAAAAGACATGATAGTGGGGAGGGCCCTGGCAGAGCGATGCTAAGCAGAAGGAGGAAAATAAGAGAAATGATGGAGGCGGTGGTGGTTAGGTGCCATTGAATGGGTGCCACCCACGGCGACTCTGCACAATAGAACATAACACTGCCAGGCCCCAGGCCATCCTCACAATCGTTCCTGTGCCTGAGCACAGTGTGGAAGCCACTGTGTCCACCCATCTCGTTGGAAACCTTCCTGTTTTTTCCTAACACAGCTACTTCACCAAGTATGTCCAAAGAACATAAGACTAGTAATTCTTGGACTTCTTGCAATTCCCCAGGCTCCCATCCCCAGAGCAGAGAGAAACCAGCCACTCATCAAAGGTCAGCATTGATTACAATTATTTTACTTTCTGTGTAATCTATGCTGGGTGGCTGATCTAAATAGATATCTCAGACCATAAGCGTTAAAGACAGTATGTGAGACTCTCAAATGGAAATTATGAAAAACTGTTCAAATGGGATTTTCTAAAAGCAGTTTAAATTCAGTATCTCTCCGATTCCACGCTAAAATGTATATCCCTGCACTGGTAGCACAGTGGTTAAGTGCTCAGCTGCTTTTCTAGAGGATCCAGCTTACGACAGCTGCTAACCAAAAGGTCAGCAGTTCAAACCCACCAGGTGCTCTGTGGAAGGAAAACTAGCGATTTTTCCCTGTGAATACTACAGCCTAGACAGCCATATGGAGCAGGTTTAATTTCTCCCAAGAGTCTGAATGAATGCCACGACACACCAACAACAAGGAATTTCAAAGCTTTACGTTTTCAGTAGCGTCTCTTTGGCAGATTCCATGTGTCTCATGACGATGTTCTGAAACGTGGACAGCTCGAGTGCGTCTTGCCGATTGTGAAAGTCTTCTACGTCCACAAGCCGCAATCGTCTGCAAGAGGTAAGACCAACCGTTTCAGAATCAGACTTTTTTCCCTAGTTTTGCTAATGTTTCCCTTCTCATAAAAATTATATTCCCAGGTTTTGTCATTCAAAAATTGTGTTCAATAAAGTCGTGTTTTCAAGGAACAGAGATATTATAAAGTTTAAAAATATACTATTCAACTCCACGGGAATACATTCTGAAACTGTGCCGCGATGTCGAAGATTCGCTAGTTGGGAGGTGGTGGGGGCTTCGGCTGTTCTTTGTGTTTAAGCTGGATCCATTGGAATAAGAAAGGAGCAGGGATCCGTGCTCCCTACCCAAATATTGGATCTTAAGTAACCTGTTCCTTGTGACCAAACTGACTCTGGATATTAGAAAGCCATGAACTGCGAGCGTTCTTACACCAAATCAAGAATTGTTTTATCAAAATCTTTTTTAATCTTTCTGGTTTTCATCCTTAAAAAAAAATAGTACTTACTCCAAACATCAGCTTTCAATATAACCTATTCTCTGCTCATGAAGTGATGGATCCTCGTTATACACCTAGTTTTACTCACTTGAGAATTTTCTCGGATCCTGCTTGAAGTGTCAAAAGCAGCAGAGGCTACGGCACACAGACCATAAGACAGAGCGGAGGAGTAATTCTGAGACCGTGAGGAATCACAGAGGTGCAGGTGTTCCGGAAAGAGTATGGCTTGTGAGACCCTATGGGACACTTCTACACTGTCCTATAATGTCACTGTGAGGCAGAATTAATGCCATGCTAACTGGTTGGCACTTTTTTTGGTTTTGGTGTCAGTACTGAAAAGCAATAATTCACATATTTCTACCTAGAGAGCATCCTTTCAAAATCTCTCTCTCTCTCACCCTTTCTCATATTTTTTAATCATTCTTATGCTACCATCCTTTAACTCATAGGTTCCCTAACTTATTTGGTCCAATGCTCCCTTTTCAGAAAAAAAAATAGTCAACCTTCTCCTGGCATTCTGTGTAAAGCTTTTTGTACCAAAGCCTATAATCCAGGATAGTGTAGCTATCTGCTTTTGCAGCAACCCCTCCCCCTCCCATTATTCCAAAGACCACCAGGGGACAGCATCACCCCACTTTTGGAATCACTCCCTAAACCCATGGCCACCATGAGAGACAGTCTCTATTTTCAAGATCCGCTAAGGAGAGGGCAAATGACTGCTTAGCAGAGTAAAGGAGGCCAACACGGGTAACCCCCGAGGACTGCCCAGCTCCCTAATGCTCACAAAGAAAGCCAAAATGACCTGCACTCTCAAAGGCAACACAGCAGTGGGTGGCTTGTCTCCCGTTCAGCGCTGCACGCTTCCTCCTTTATTTGCACCGTAACGTCAGAGGCTGATTCTGAACACATCCACTATCACTGTTTGCTTCTCTCGGATCCGTTCCTTTTTCTTACCCCTCTTCCTTTCCTCTCATGTCTTGACTCCTGACAATGTCTAAAGGACAAAAGTCTAGCCCCTTAGGGACAATGCAAAGCAGTCGAGTTGTATTTTCCACTCTCTGCCCAGTGTTTTCTGGGCGTCCCAGCTGTGAGTCCATATACAGGAAAAGCGGCGGGTGGTGCTGCTTTAAGGTGGAAATGCACTAATGTATACAGACATGCTTGGCAAAGGGAACAGGGTCAATTCTAGACCTCACTTGTATGATTTCATGCGGGATTCTACCGAGGCCTTGTCCTGAGGAGTATTTGAGGGCCCACATCCAAAGGAAGAGAAAGGAAGAAACCATGGGTTTCTTTCTGTCCGTTATGAGCCAAATTCAGGTAGGCAAAGAAACCCATAATGTGTATGGAAAGCTGAAAGGATGCACTTACTACCAGGAGGGAGATCAGCAAACCCTCGTGATCGAGCTCTAGCTCTAGCTCCTTCTCCCTGACGGCACCGGAAAGTAAGGTCTGTACAAGCCCCGAGGCCCTGCAGCGCACGATTACACGCTAGAGGTCGTCGTTCGTTCCATTAAGCTGGCCCTAGGGACTGCAGGGATTCGCCTCATTCCACTCACACGGGCCACACTGGCTGGGCCTCTAAACTGTACAGATAGTCGCAGTTAATGTTTCATGGGGTTTAAAACAAACTAGGACAATTCAGACCCTTGACGGTAATTACTCGGGGAGCTGTGGGAACTGGGTTGGGAACGAGAGGAAGGGAAGGACTGGCGAAGGGATAAAAGGGGACTTGCACTGGTTACTCTATACATGTCGATCTTTCTTTATAATGCATTTGAATGTGTATAATAAATCCGCGGCTTTTTTCATGTTGGCTGTTAAAACGGTAAAGACGAAAGAGTGTGGGTGTGATCAGATCAGTTCGTCTGGCTTTGGAAATTTCATTCCAGCCAGGAACACTCACTTGAAAGCGCTGTGCCACAGATCTAGCAGGGCCAGCATTGTAGGGTTCATTGCGTTCAAATGATCCCGAATGTAACTGCTTGCAGATAAAAAAGATTTCCTCCAAGGTTTTGGCAAAATTTCCATTCTGAAAACAGAAAGAAAAAATAAATAGGTACCTTCTTTAAAACACATATGGAAGTGCTTTTAGTCCATCTTGGGGAGTCACAGTTTAATTTTCTTTAAACATATGACGCATCTCGCCTCGTCATAATTGGGCAGTTTCATTGATGTTTTCAAATGTACAAAAGCCATAATCTTCATGATTTCATGTCATCTCATATATAATGAATGAATAAGAAATTCGTTTAGAAGCTTTAATACATAAGATATTCAATTGTTTCCTCTAAATGCTTAACTCTGAATCTACAAATTACACACAATGATCAAGGAGTAACAACACGTCTCTCTATCCATTGAAGGATGAAACACATAAAGATGTTTCTCCAGGAGGGGAAGGAGAAGGTGGGGGGAGAAAGGGGAATTGATCACAAGGATCTACATATAACCCCCTCCCAGAGGGATGGACAACAGAAAAGTGGGTGAAGGGAGACATCGGTCAGTGTAAGACATGAAATAATAATTTATAAATTATCCAGGGTTCATGAGGGAGGGAAGGTGGGGGAGGGAGGGAGGGAGGGGAAAAATGAGCTGATACCAAGGGCTCAAGTAGAAAGAAAATGTTTTGAAAATGATGAGGGCAACAAATATACAAATGTGCTTGACACAATGGATGGATGGATGAATTGTGATAAGAGTTGTACGAGCCCCAAATAAAATGATAAAAAATAATAAACAACTATTCCATTTCATTCCCATTTTTAAAAAAAGATGTTTTATATTGCTTTTAAAATATTTTTCAGTTTAAGTCAAGCCAATGTGTGAAACTCCTTGAGTTCTGTCCTCTGTTAATGTGTAAAGGTCATTTACAAATCACAGGCATTGTAAGTCTGTTGTATTAAGTCCCATTTCTTCTGCAACTCCCACCGTTTGAATGCATATCTTTTACATTTTTTACATCTTTCAGCGTCTATTAAAAGACTTACATTTTAGCTTAATGCTCTGATTTCATTTTTATTCTCACTTAATCTTGTCTTATGACACAGTGAGTTTAATTCTGTTTTTCAGTTATGGCTAAGCTACCCTTAGTAATTAAAAAGGACGATTTAGTCTTCCACTTTTAGAAAAGTTATTCTGCATAGAAGACACATGAAACGGTTACATGCCTTTATTTATTTGCTCGCTATGAGAAGCCATTTGGAGCACTTTTAAATGGTAATAAAAGAAGCAAAGACTGAGTTGTTATTAATCACACACATCAAAGTTTCCATCTTCAACCTATTTATGAGGTTTATTCTTACAAATTAATTCTATTTTAGGCAAAGCTTATACCAAGTAAATGTACCCATTATGTGTTCTATATTTTACTATGTGTAATAGACGTGATCTATTTTACATGCATACATTTTCTACAATGTTCCCAATGTGTTTTTGTGCACACAACTTGCCATCAAGCTTTGCACTCCCTACACATCTAGAGCCTGATCTAGAAGCTGTGAAGATTTAAAGACATACGCCAAGTCCCTGCTATTGAAGTACCTACATTTTAACTGTCCATGTGTCCACCCCTCTATATGTTTGTAAACTCATCATGCCTTCAGTTTGTAGACATAACATGTTACCACCTAAGCTGCATCAAAAACAAGCTAGTAAGACCACCCAGTTTTAACTATCTCAAACTCCAAAACATGAGAAAACAAATTATTCACTGCCAGCTCACAGTGACCTTATAGAACAGGGTAGAACTGCCACTGTGAGTTTCTGAAACGGTAGCTCTTCACAGGATTAGAAAGCGTCATCTCTCTCCCGCTGAACAGCCGGTACTTCTGAATTTCTAACTTGCAGCCCAATGTGTCAGCACTACGCCACCAGGGCTGTTCTAACGGTTTTATATGTGTGCAAACATGTAGAGTACACAGATGTGGCCAAGCGTAACCCGTGGGCAGACACAGACACAGAATCAGAAGAAGCCAGGCACTCTGGAAGAAGCCTGATTGCTTACTCGGCGCGATGAGGTAGCAGTTCGTCTGTCTTTTTGTCATCTTCCTTTTCTCGGGGATCCTTTAAAACAAAATCGACTACAAGAAAATTTAAAATTCTGATAAGTAACTTTGTATTCGACAGGAATTGTTTAAAATGTTTAAAAGCTGCTGTGCTTTGAATAGTGAGCAAGTCATCCTTTTATGCACAGGTAATGGTTCACACTGTACAGTCGTTGAAGGCAGTTGCCATTTTTAAGGGAGAGACTATGTTCCAAGCACTGAATGCCTTTCATAAACAAGGTACTCAAATATTTTAAGGGCTGGAAATTAATGTTTTAAAATATTCTTCAGTTCTGTCCTTTGTTGGGGTATGTCAGTTATGGAGTGAATGGTGTGCCCAAAATAAATGTGTTGTGAATCCTAATCTCTCCACCTGTGATTATAATCCCATTTGGCAATAGAATGTCTGTGTTATACTAAGACAGGCTTAGTGTAGGGTGTGTTGGAGTCAGTCTCTTATAAAATGTAAAAGCAGCAAAACAAACAAGCAGAGACAGAAGACAGGTGTGAAGCCGCATGCAGCTCTCCAAAGAGCGAGGACGCAAACTGAAGGGGCCTCGCTGCTGTTTTTCACTCTGAATGGTGCTTAAGTAAGTAATACAGCAGCAACAAAAGAAATAGTATAGCTAACGTACAATGTAGAAGAGTTTCAAATATAAGGATTCACTTTCAATACCAAAACATTTCCTCTTAAATATGGATAGAGACTGAAATTAGACAAGAGAAATACCACTTTACCTATGGACTTTTTTACACTGAGAAGATAGTCTTCTCTCATTTCATCAGACAATCCGAGTATGCTCTCGGTGAGGACTTTGAGATGTTTGGGGACTAAACTCAATACATTTTCCAGCCAAGAATCGTCCATTGGGGCTACATGGTCTGTATCAATTCCATGGTGAATGTAATAGTAATACCGCTACATAAAGGAGACAAAGTTAATAGGTTTAGTAACATAATTTTTTAATGTGCTTACAGAAACTAAAACTACTAGGCAAAATTAAAGTTTTAGGAGACCAAAGCACTTATAAAATATAAAGGTATATAATTAATGTAGGCATTATTTGAGATCTCAAATAAAAAATATGACACTCAACTAAAATTAAACATCTTATCTCAGCTAACAATTATACTAGAAAATAAATCCCATATATACTTGAGTATAAGCCAAGTTTTCCAGCACATATTTTTATGCAATTTTTGTGGTAAAATTAGGTGCCTCTGCTGATATTCGGGTCGGCTTATACTCAAGTATATATGGTATGTGATATCCCTAACAGATTTCATGCTGAATTAGCTGAATTCATGACTCAAATTCACTGCCATCAAGTCGATTCCAATTCATATTGACCTAATAGGACATGGTAGAATTGCCTCTTTGGGTTTCTGAGACTTTGAATCTTTATGGGAGTAAATAGCCTCATCCTTCTCCTGCAGAGCATCTGGGGGATTCGTACTGCTGACCTTGTGGTTAGCAGCTCAATGTAGCCCCACTCTGCCCCAGGGGTCCTTTAGAGATTAATTGATGAGTAAAAATTGGTATGCTAGTTTTGTCCTCTTAGTAGGTCTTAAAAGCAATAAACAAGGCCTTACCCATTATATTCATCTCAAGAATAGTATTCAGTGTAATTTAGAACCGTCTCACTTGATGGGTATATTACAGTTGTTAGTATATGTGTACATAAAATACTCATTTTAAAAGATCACATTATTTCTCTAAGAAGGAATATTTTAACATCAACATATTTTCAATTTTAACTTCAATCTATTTTTACATAAAAATGTAAATATTCAAATATTTCCCACTAGTAAAGCCTTCAATATTTTTTACTTTGAAAATACATTAGTATTTGAAAATTTTCCCCAAAATTGCTATTTCTAAAATAAGCTTTGAAAATGGTACCTAATTTTTAAAAAAGTTAAGACATACACCTTCCTTAAGACATTAAAATAATCTCTCATAGTTGGGACGTGTAAAATTTAGAGATGGCAGAAGCAAGTTTTAACACAGGGAGTAGGCAAATTCTTTCATGGTGGTGTTAGGTGTCAAGGGAGAGAATGGTTCCTCTGTAATCAAAATAGAGCATTTCCAGGGCACCTGGGCATTTACTTCTTTGGCCACAGAAAGTAGTACAGAATAATCTAGAACATATAAGGGGAGGAGATGGGCCAGTCAGAGTGCAGTGTAGCACCGATGAAACATACAGCTTTCCTCTGTTTCTTTAATGCTTCCTCCCCCACTGTCATGACCCCAATTCTTCCTTACAAATCTGGCTAGAGTAGAGCATGTGCATGGGTACAGATAAGAGCTGGAAACACAGTGAATACAGGACAGATAAACTCCTCAGGGCTAATATTGAGAGTAGCCATACCAGGAGGGGGGGGGGGATGATTTACATATAACGTCCTCTCAGGGAGATGGACAACAGACAAGAGGGTAAAGGAGACATCGGACAGTGTAAGACACGAGAAAATAATAATAATTTATAAATTATCAAGGGTTCATGAGGGAGGGAGGGAAAAAATGAGGAGCTGATACCAAAGGCTCAGGTAGAAAGAAATGCTTTGAAAACGATGATGGCAACATATGTACAAATGTGCTTGAGACAATGGATGGATGGATGGATTGTGATAAGAGTTGTACGAGCCCCCAATAAAATTATTTTTTAAAAGTATTTTCAAGTGTTTTCTTCAATCTCGATCAATCTCACAGAAGAACCAGCCTGTTACCAAGATGTCTTTCTCCACTGCAGAAGCGGCCATTTTGGGAAACGTGCTTGCATCAGAGGTAGCTTTGTCTACGCCAGCATCTTGCTGCCTACGTGAATGATGAACATACGATTCAAATGTGTATCAGGCAGACTATAAGGCCCCAAACCACCAAACCCACTGCCACCCATTCAGACGCCTAGTGACCCTAGAGCAGCGGTTCTCAACCTGTGGGTCGTGACCCCTTTGAGAGTCGAACAACCCTTTCACAGGAGTTGCCCGATTCAAAACAGTAGCAACATGACAGTTATGAAGTAGCAACAAAATAATTTTATGGTTTTCCTCACAACATGAGGAACTTTTTGAAAGGGTCACAGCATTCGGAAGGTTGAGAACCACTGCCTTAGAGGATAGAGTGGAACTGCCCCATAGGGTCTCTGAAACTATAAATCTTTCAGGAATTAGACTGCCTCTTCTTTCTCTTGAAGACCAGTTCATGAGTTCAAGCAGCCAGTCCTTTAGCTAGTAGCCCCTTGCTTAACCCACCATGTCACCAGGGCTCCTAGAACACAAGACAGTATGAATAAAAGCACCGGGGCTGTCTTTTGTTATAGGAGGTCTGGTAGCATACTGGTTAAATACTGGGCTGCTAACTACAACATCAACAACTTAAAGCCACCAGCCACTCCTAATTCAGGCCTACAGAAACACTGTCATGAAGTGCATTCCATCTCATAGCAGCTCTGTCTAGCATTTCCAAGATTGTAAAGCTTTATGGGAGTACACAACCTCATCTTTCTCCCTCAGAGCAGTTGGTGGGTTTGAGCCACCAACCTTGCAATTAGTAGCCCTATACTGAACCCACGGCAACCACCAAAAAAACCCCACAAAACATAAAAAGCTCAATGCTATCGAGTCGATGCCAACTCACAGCTATCTTATAGGACAGGGTAAAATTGCCCTTGTGCATTTCCAAGACTGTAACTCTTTCAAAACCAAACTGAATATATTCATAGTGATCCTATAGGGCACTTGATCCATAGTGACCCTCTAGGTAACTGTAACTCTTTTTTTAATGCATACATAAGTAAATTAATTTAATAGTAAAATGTCATAGAATGACCCAGGGGCATTGACTTTGAAGGAAACTACTGGTTTCAAGTAATAATTCAGAGTGGTTACTTCATTTAGGAATCTGATAAGATTTTACTGTAAATTTCAGTATTGCTATTAAAATGTAAATACAGTTTAATTTACATTCAACCTTTAAGAGCATATTCTGGCCCTCTTTAGAAGCCTAGAAAGCTACATCTTTCTCCCTCAGAGCCACTGGGGGTTTCAACTGGGGGTTGTCCACTTTGTAGTTAGCAATTCAATGTGTGACCAAGCCACACACACACACACACACACACACAAAGCCCTCACTACTATCACGTTAATTCTGACTTATCGTGACCCCATAGGACAGGGTAGAAGTGTCCCTGTGGGTTTCTGAGAGTGTAACTTTTTAAGGGAGTGGGAAGCCTCATCTTCCTCCCATGGAGCAGCTAGTGGTTTCAAATTGCAGACCTAGTGGTTAGCAGTCCAATGGTAACCCCCTGGGGCTCCTTAATTCAGCACACACCTTATAGCTCACTGCTATCACGTAGATTCTGGCTCATAGCACCCCAATAGGACAGAATACAACACCCCCTATGAGCTTCCTACTGTCATCTGTCCTTCAATGTACTCATTGCCATCGAGTTGACTCTGACTCAAAGTGGCCCTACAAGACAGACTATAACTGCCCCTGTGTGTTTCCATGGCTGCTAATCTTTCTACAGGAGTAGAAAGCCTCCTCCTTTTCCCTCAGAGCAGCTGGTGGTTTCAGACTGCTGAAACAGCTGGTAACCCACTATGCCATCAGAGCTCCCTAACTCAGGACAAAGTGCTCAATAAATGTTGATCGAATGAAGACATCAGTATGAAACGAATGGTGGAAGATTTCCAATAGCTGAAAAGAGAACACTATTATAAAGATTGATGGTTTCAACTACAAAAATGATCTCATGATATTGTTAATTGTATAGAAAGTATTTCTACCATTGAAAAACAAACAGTTATTAAGGATATACACTGTATATCAGCAAAATCTGAACCACATTTTTTGATTCATGGAATATATTAGTGTCATATCTCTTTTCTTTATACGTAGAAAAATAAGATGATTTTTTTTTTTTTAGTAAAAGAATTAACCCTCATGGTCTCTTATTCCCTCATTCAACCTTGCTAAAGTAAAACATTGTAAGATTGTCTTCAGGGGAAAGACAGAGAAAATGGCTTTTAGAACTTAAAAAAGATGAATAAAAATCCGTAGATTCAAATATTATGAAAACTACTTGAAACAACAGAAACACATTTTATAGATGTTAAACTAATAAAAATGAAGAGGAAACAGAGAAAATCCAATTCAAAATAAATCGAGGTTAGATATGGTAGCATGGTAAATAGAAAACAAAATAAGCTGGTATAAGTTAAAGTACATATCTATAAGAAACACCAACAAATATAAATTAGATTAATCATGCTATTAAAAGTATAGAAACTCTACAACCGAATTTCAATAAGTTCATTTATATTCTTGTTTATAAATTGCACAACTAGAAAATGCCATTGAATGGCCAAAAATTAACTTCTGTTTCTCATAACAGCACCAACGATAATCTGGAAAAACTTCTCAGTACAGTTCTATGATCGCTCAATAATATGCCCCCAAACTTATTTAATTACATAGTATTTATAAGAAGGGAACAAAACATGGGATACAAACGCCATGAAATGAGATGATACCGTGGCCAGCAAAAACCTCAAAGGACAGAAGCCTTACATGTTAACGGCCTCCTGAGGAGTCCAACTGATGGCCCTGCGTAAAGCTAGGGACTGAGAACGGGCTCTCACCTCATCTGAAGAACTACAAATAAAGGCATGAGGGGGAGTTGTGTGGAGAAAGCCTGTCTCTTCCAGCCAAGGCTCAGTGCAGAAGAAACGTTTCTTCTAAAACACTCTAGCCTCTGTCCTCCCAAGAGTTTGAGTGTTGATTTTATATTGCTACCTGATTCAAAAGAACATAACTCAAGACATAACATAAGAAGAAGGCCAGGCTGGAAATACTCAAGTGGCACTTTGCAAAAACACACTCACAACCCCTCTCGTAGAGGTACACACTCACACCCAATCCAATCTCATTGTAGCGAACTTACAAATACCCCTTCGTGTCCCTTATAAGAGCATGGTATCAACTGTTCGCTCTTCAAGATGGCTACCTAGAAAGTCAAGTGACATCGGCAGACTGAAAGACGGAGTTCTGTGGGAGAGATGCTTACCAATCTGTCATGGAACTGCATTTGTGGCCTGAGAGTACTAAGCAGCGAGCACAGGGCGAGGAGGACACCAGGCGCAGCATGGAGGGAGTGACTTGCTCTGCACTGCTCCCCATGCACCATTCTGAACCTCAGAGCAGGGGCACGTGGCGGCCTTGTCATTCCACTCCACATCCTGGTCTCTGCAAGAGACCCACACTCCAGAAAAGCCACCACGTCTCCAGAACGGACAAGCAACACGGAAACCTGCCCCAAGTCCTCCATCACTGCTGTAACCCAAATTCCCAGGAAGTCTACATCTCAGTCAACATGGCTCATGAATGCCAACACCTTCTTATTTAAAAGTGGGGCGCACTGAATAAGGTGCAGCTCGGTCTTTCTTTCTCTCTCTCTCTCTCTCTCTTTCTTTCTACTCTGACCTCATTCCAGCAGGCGTTGAGGCAATGCTCAGAGACACACAAAACCCTGATATTTTTAGATGAAAGCTCCCTGGAGCTCTAGCTAGGGCAATACATGTTGCTTAGTTTCTAGAACTTACATAATAACATTCACAAGAGTGCTTCTGAAGTTCTCTCGTTCTTTGTGCGGACTTTTGCCCTTGGATTTGGAAGTAGACGGTGCTGTGTAAATATCATCAGTTTGGTCTCGTATTTTGCGTTTTTTCCCAAACTGCTCAATATATTCAGCTAAAATTAAAAGACATAAGTTAGTCATTTAAAAAATAAGCCAAAGTTGGAAACACAGGGAATCCAGGACAGATAAACTCCTCAGGATCAATAATGAGAGTAGAGATACCAGGAAGGTAAGGGGAAGGTGGTGGGAATAAGGGGGAACCGATCACAATGATCTACATATAACCCCCTCCGAGGGGGACGGACAACAGAAAAGTGGGTGAAGGGAGACATCAGTCAGTGTAAGACATGAAAAAACAAAAATAATTTATGAATTTTCAAGAGTTCACGAGGGAGGCAGGGTGGGGTGAGGGAGGGGAAAATGAGGAGCTGATACCAAGGGCTCAAGTAGAAAGAAAATGTTTTGAAAACGATGATGGCAACCTATGTACAAATGTGCTTGACACAATGGATGGATGTATGGATCGTGATAAGAGCTGTAAGAGCCCCCACTAAAATGATTTTTAAAAATATGCCACAGCATTTACATGCCTAAAATAAAATGCCAAATCATCTTTTCAGCAAGAATTACAGGTTTTAAGTTCTCAGGTAACCATTGTGCATTTTATTTTCTTCTGTAAGAAAGTATACCTATTTTTGTCACCAGAATAAAGTGTCTGATTATTTCAAGAATATCCAATTAATGTATTGTACAGTTAAATTAATAGATGACCAAACACAAAATTATCAGTTATATTTACACAATATCTTTGTGTAAAAATGAACAAGATTCAAGTTATTCTGCAAAAACAACATGAAACTATTTCAAATCATTTTATTGATATCAAAATGTTAATATTAATTATAACCAACTGGATAACTTTTTAATATTAAGTGATAACTTAATCTTAAATGTACTATTAATGAAAACTATTAATATTAACTGTAATCAGTTTGAAGCACTTATATTTAAGACATCAAAATAATAAAAACATTAAGATGACTAATTTGGAGGCAATGTTTACAATATAAATAAAATCTCTATTGGGGAAAAAGAAAACCTCCTGAATATTTGATGAAGAGGCAAATTCTGTGACAGTAAGCCAAAGTTTTATTATAAGCCTGAATTCTGAAATATCAGTTTTGGAGCATGTATAATGGCCTAAAAAAATGGAACTTGGTTATTTTCTGAGAGAAACATTTGGGAAAATTTTTGATACTTGGTCAAAACATCAGTTAAGTATTATAATTGCATTACACTACTAAATAATTGCTATATTATCATTTTCCTTAGAAAATTTCCTTAAATGCTACAATGAAACATACAACTTTCCTCTAATTCTTAAACGCTTCCTCCCCCCAACTATCATGACCCCAGTTCTACCTTACAAATCTGGCTAGACCAGAGGATGTACACTGGTACAGATAAGAGCTCTGGTCACATGGAATCTAGGACAGATGATCACTTCAGGACCAGTGGTGAGAGTGGCGATACCGGGAGGGTGGAGGGGTAGAAAGGGGGAACCAATTACAAGGATCTACATATAACCTCCTCCCTGGGGACGGACAACAGAAAAGTGGGTGACGGGAGATGTTGTACAGTGTAAGATATGACAAAATAATAATAATTTATAAATTATCACGGGTTCATGGAGGAGGGGGAGCGGGGAGGGGTGGGGAAAAATGAGGAGCTGATACCAAGGGCTTAAGTGGAGAGCAAATGTTTTGAGAATGATGATGGCAACAAATGTACAAATGTGCTTGACACAATGGATGGATGGATGGTGATCAGAGTTATATGAGCCCCCAATAAAGTGATTTTTAAAAAAGATTTAGAACATAGACGTTCTTACCATATGACTGTTCATTTTTAACACTGAACGGCTCTGGAACATCATCTTCCTGCCGTATGTTCAGCTGGAACGATGGTCCTGCCTGCTGCCACTGGGGCTTTGTATCCACCTAAAACATGGGGTGTTGATAGCAATTACAGAGCAGTATCAGAAAGGCATTCCACGAAATGAGCAACTCTATAAACCGTGACTTTTCTCAAACAGATCAAAGTACCTGGCAGCAGACCTACACACTCAGCAGCTGCTCTTACTCACGTCTGCGAATGACCACGGTTTGTGACAGACGGGAGACAATACTACAGGCTCTGCCTTGAGTCTACTCATGCCCAGTAGTGGCAAGGGTTTCCTAAGCCTTCCGTTTTTATGAAAGAAACCCTCTGCTAGCCTCCAAAGCCAGCGAGTCCTCTCTGCATTGCCTCCTGCTCCAGTTTCCTAGGTTTCTATACTCAGAGCCCCCAAACTCACTGCCATCGAGGTGATTCTCATTCAAGGTGGCCCTGCAGGACAAGACCAACCTGCCCCTGTGGGTTTCTGAGCCTAACTCTTTACCAGAGCAGGGAACCTTGTCTTTCTCCCTCAGAGACACTGCTGGTCTCCCAGAAGTGACCCACAAGTTGGCAGCCCAACACAGAACCACGGCACCACCAAACGGCCCCAACCGGCCCTGACACATCACACGTGTATGCCAGCATTCAAGGCAAAACCAGAGTGGTTGAGTCCATGCCGATTCATGGTGATCCTATAGGACAGGGTAGAACTGTCCCATGGGGTTTCTAAGGCTGAAATCTTCACAGAATTAGGCGACCACCTCTTTCTTCTATGGAGCCAAGATGTGGGGTTCGCACCAAGGCTCACTCAGTGGCATGGAGTCAGTTCTGACACACAGCTGTCCTCCAGGACAGAACGGCCCCTGTGGGTTTCCAACTCTTTCAGGAACGGAAAGCCTCATCTTTCTCCTGCGGAGCGGCTGGTGGTTTCAAACTGTTAAGCTAGTCTTTAGCAGCCCAACGCATGATCCGCTAAGCCTCAGGGTCCAGGCAGGCAACCTCAAAAGGGGAGGGATGCTAGTGATGAGAAGTAGCTGACACTCAGTGTCGCTGCTGGGAAGTCACAGAATGTCGTAGGGACCATGGCAGACAGGAAGGCATCTACAAATTCCAGACATTTTCTGAACAGTGGCAATTCCATTTGAGTCTCGGTCTTCTTTTCGGATGATTGTTTCAACCTGTGCTATCTCTTTCCTCTGCCGTGGCACTCAACAGGAGGATGATCCACAGGGAATAATTCCATCGACGTTGAGGCCTGCCTTCACATCATCCTCTCACAGCCTTCTGGCCTCTATTCCAGTCATGACTATGGTGAACAGGCCCACACGGGCTCCAACTCCTACAGGGGTGATAATGATCCAGTAAATGATTTCTGCTTTCTTCTATGGGATGGAATTTCTCCAATGCCACAACTTGGGATGCTAAAGGCACTCTACTACACACACACACACACACATACACACGTGGTCAGACAGTGTAGGGACTAGTTAATTACCAACCTCAGGGGCAATTCTCAATTAGCAACAAATAAGAACCAATCAATAAATGTTATTCCCTGACCATCTTTAGGCAAAAACATTCAAGAAACATTCTAAAACCTTCTTGGAAGGAAACGGCAGTTGCCTAGTATGAAGAGCTACTTGGTAACACGTGTATTGGCTTCTCCTCCAACCCCGTTTTCCTCTTCCCACTCCCTTGGCCTTGGCATTACTTCCCAAATAAACTACCTGCACACAAGGCTTTGTTCCACAAAAACACAAGGTTAAGGCCCCCCAAAGTCAGTGCTCCCCCTCCTTCCATTCTCCCGTTCTCATCGTGCTCCCTGAAGCATTTGAGAGTCATCAAAATAGACTTAGAGAGGTGGCCAGAAAGGTCCCTGGATGGACTTCAAGGTCACCTAGATTTTAATCACAGGTCACCTCGAAAAGCGTGGAAGCTGGTATAACAAACTCACTCTAGGCCTGACCCATTGTGAGACTACCTCATCCACGCGCAAATCTTAATACACAGATGAAAATCGTTTCTAAAAAGGCAGTAGATTATTGTTTAAACTATCTCCTAAATACATTTTTTCTTAAACTACAGAAAACTCAACACTAAATAATCATAAAGTACAGGCAAGTAGAAAATCACATTAAACTCAACCAACAGAAGTTATGTACTTCACTGATAAGGAATGATCGTTATACATCCTAGCTATGAAAGTGATATTTCTGGGGCTGTCAACCATTAGGACTCAAAAATAAGTGACTTCTTTTTTCAAATTTAAAACGTCAAATTTTTAAGAAAAAAATAAAAAGTTTATTCCATTCTAGGTCTGGGTATGTTAAACTAGGAATCTAATGCGATGTTTTGCCCAATTAGGAAAAACATGCTGTTGAACTTTTAGAAGAGACAGTGTGAAAATCTGACATCAATAAAAATATGTCTTGAGATTAAAACATGTATTTTGAAATGTTTACAGGCATTGATCTAAGAACTGCCATTCAAGTTTTCTAACAAAAATAAAATCTTCATTTCTGATTATCACAGAAATCGTGTCTGTATAGAACAATGCAAATGCAGTTTTGTTCCTCATCCTGAGATTTAGATTCTTTCAAAACAAATAATTATATAATTTAAATGAAGCTTCCAGGGGAGTTCCAATAGCATAGCTCAATGGCAATAAGCTCAACAGAATTATTATAGCTAAATTTCTTTTTTTTAATAGATATCAAAATTTACTAGTGGTTACTAGGGTCGGTATACAGAAAGTGGGGGGTGGGGGGTAGGGGTGATGGATCATGGGATGTTTGCTTGCAAACAGATTCTTGTAATGCTGTCAATAAGGCTTAAACCTGTAAATAACTGAACAGGCAAAAGTTGTGTGATAGATATACAAGGGGGCTTCAAAAAGTTTGTGGGAATCTTCCATTACTTTCAAATTTATTTGCAGTCATCGCTGGGGCTATTTCTTGCTGCTGGTTTCTTTGGCGGCCTGCTCTCCCACCTGCATAACCAGGACCAGGGCCTTCCTGAAAGCTTGCAGGACTGAGAGGTCATTGGGAAGCTTGGCCAGGGTGGGTTCTGCTTTGTTCGCAGTCTTCTCCAGGCCGGAGTCTGGCTGCTTGGTCATCTTGGAAGAGCTTAAGTCAGCTTGGTCCTGGAGGTGACAAGACTGGGAAAACGTTTTGTGAACCAGCTGCAGCCACTTGCTTCCAGAGACGCATTCTCTTCTTCCCGGTGAAAGAAATAACAGACTCGGGGGCTCACCTTTGAGCTGAAGAGGTTCAAGGAGTCTCCGGGAGAAGACACTGGGCGCCGGCTACACAGTGCTCAGACTTCAGGCGCTTCTCTGGCACCATGCCCCGTGCCCAGCAAGCAGGAACCGCGCTATGATCCTCACTTCCGATAGCTAAATTTCTTAATAATAAAATCCAACCATCCAGATGGTACTTGACCATCTAGAAAGATTTGTCCTTGCCTCTGTCACCGAATCACTTGTGGTCATAAGAATCCACAAGAATGTCAAGACCTGAGGAATATTATATGCAGAGCTGTCTAGTGCCAGCTCCTGAACATCATCAAATCATCTCACTTCTCCGTTTCAAACTGGGAACCTGCGCCTCCATGAAGTACGTGGCTCACCTAAGGTCCTGGGGTGACGGACAAAGCTGGGACCCAAGCCCAGCATCCTGGATCCAATACGGATGTTCTTTCTGCTCACCCATCTTGGGAAATTTTAGAACCAAGATATTCGATATTTTGAACCCACTACAAAACTACAGCGTGGAGTTAGTTCGCTAATAATTGCTTGGTTTTTAGTAAGATATGTGTCTCGTTGAATTTCCCTGTTAGGAAAAATACATCCAATTCACACAGGGCTAAAAATCAAAAATTCAGAAACTTATTTGCAAGGTTGGACAGGAATTGGCAACATCTGTGAGGAGCCAAAACGGAAGGAGCGGGTGTAGGGGAATTACCACGGACAGTTGCGGCAGCATTCTCCCTGCAGCCTTGGACGTTTCTTTGCTGACGGGCTTCTCCTGTGTGAAAAAGAAAGACACACACACACAACCACATTTTAGTATAAAAATTGTAAAGTGTTATAAAAACTATAAAGTATGGACTCATAAAATATTCAGAAGCATGCTCTGTTTCTCAAATTCCTAATGTTTATCTTCTAATGGATTCCTGTATAGGTGGTCAATAAATAGAGGCATTGTCAGAAAGCCCTAAAAATGGCATAAACGCTCATCTGCCATCTCTTCTTCTGAGAGTTTAGCTGGATCTTGTAGTGTCCAGGGCTGAGCCTACTAGTGTCCAGTGCCACCTCCCTCCTCCATGGCTAACAAGGAAAGACGGACTAGACTGCGCCACTTTCTAAGTGACACTGCATTCAAATGAATGCACATCATCTGGGCGCTTTTTTAGCAGCAACGTTCAGAGACAGTATAGGATGATTTTTGCGTAGAGACTAATTCTATGGGAGAAATGTAAGCAAGGGAAGAAGTGGCACTGCTGAGAAGACTACTTTGATCCATAAACCAGATCATAGGAGGAGTGCATTGAACAACTTATCTACGTCCTGCCTCGCATGTCCCAATCTGCCCTTTCTGCTTCCCTGTGTGGGACTTCAGAGCCCCGGTCGTGTAGGGGTTCTGCAGGTGGGCTGTTAGCTGAGAGGTCTGCAGTTGGAAACCACCAGCTCTCCAGAAGGAGAAAGATGAGGCTTTCTACTCTAAATAAGAGTTACAGTCTTAGAAACCTACATGAGAAACCTATAGGGTTGCCATGGGTCAGAATTGTCTTGATGGCAATGAGAGTTTTTTTCTTTGTTTATTTGGTTTTATGTGATACTTCCAAAGGAGTATCTTGGTCTTCAAGAAAGGGCAAGATTTTAAGCGGGAGATACTGGAGCATGTTAGTGGCTGTGTTGCTATAATCGATCCTAGCTAATGTATCCACCAAACCTCCTAATCTCAGCACGGCGACTCAACCGAGATTGCCCCTGGTTCACAGGCAGTCTGGTGTGGGCCTGCTAGCTTCCCTCCAGCTCGCAGTTACCTTAGAGGGCGTCTACCACCAGGCCACCCAAGCACCTTGGCCAGGAGATGCCCACAGCCAAAGATGATGATTGCGGACTTTGGCCATCAGAGCAAGAGAGCAGGGACAATGGACTGGGGAAGAAAAGGCCCTCCTATGACAGGGGTCCCTCAACTCGCTCTGTAATACTGTACTATGACACAGGGTGACTGAGGGAAAATGCTTACAGGGCTCAGTCCTGCTTTATGCATATATATTTGTCTCATATATATAAATATATTCTACTTCTGTGGAGACTAGGAAATCTAGAGGCAGTTCTCCTCTGACCCATGGGGTTGTTCTAAGTCAGAACTGACTGGAAGGCAGGTGAGTGTATAATATTTCACCACTGATAATCTAGGTCTTCCTTCCAGATGATACTCCATCATGTGCTCTCTTCCCTCTGCTATGCCATCATCACATGAGGATGAGACAAAGGGAATTCCAGGTGGCTTGGAGCCCGGCCTCACTTACACCTCACACATTATCTTGGCCTCACCTCTGATTCCGAAACCTGGCTAAGTGAACTTACAGACCAGGGCTGGCTCCAACCCATGCAGGAATGATAGTACTTTTACTTCCAGCAAATGCCTTTTGCCTTCTGCCGTGGGATTTCTCCAGTGCTATAGCTGGGAGCTCTAGAGGCAGCACACCATGTGCACAGAAGAGGGGCCAGAACTGGCTGAGAATAACCCGCTCAGGAGCAACTCACAACCAAAAGGCGAAGGAGCTGAATGCTGCTCCCCACTCAGGCTCGGGTGGGCCATTCTGCAATATGGATTCTATATGTTCCCCTCAGACCACGGCAGCCTCGTCACTCCGGCTGCCTAGTGTGGAGCCAACTTGTACTGGCTGCTGCTCCTCCCAGCGATACCCTTCCCAGTCCCTTGTATCTCCTTCCTGGGATCAAGTCTCAAATCGACACAAGTCCGTGTTTCGGGCTCCCTTTTCCCAGAAAACGAAGGGCACAGACACTCAACAGTCAGTGCTCTTGCCTTGGTCCATCTACCCTGCCATAGTTTCACTCTCTGGTGCTCCGTCAAGTACGAAGGTCACCGTGATGCCAACAACAAGGATCGCTTCAGAAGCATGAAGTTCTGCACGGAAATCACTGTCGGCCCAACTAAGGTAAGATCATTTTATTCGAGGGCAAATCTTAGCATTGAAATTAAATTTTTTTTGAAAGAGATCAAAAAATTAGATTTTTAAATATCTCTTAGACTACGATTTCCCTGAAAAGATATAAAACTTAGCAAAAACCTGAAAAAATGTGAGAGACAGCCACAAAAAAGCTGTTTTTAAAGTTTTTGAAAAGTTTTTTTAAAGGAGCTTAGAGGATAAATGTATTATTTGGTCACTGAATATTTACTCACTAAGTAAACGTAAATATTTCTAAAGTGATATACAATAAAACATACCCAAAAAGCTAGAGTCAAATTTTATTTTTTAATTTAAAAATTTTTCAATATGTCAAAGTGAAAATGAAATATCTACTCCATGTCAGGTTTTTGTCTCTTAAAATATAAACTTTAATACCAACTTTTGCAAAATGGGAAATAAGTAAAACTAAAAACATACTATGATTTGATATTATAATCCTTGCTATTAGGTTTTCAATTATAACACATGTTTTGAAATGGCTACTAGTCACTATCTAGAATTGTTCATTCATATTTTTTAAGGTCAAAGCAGCTTTTCCATCCTGAGCTTATAAGTTCTCTTTCACAACAAATAATGTTTATATTGAACCCCACTTTAACTTGCAGGATTCATATGAGTATAACTCAAAGACATCAAATTCAACATAATTATGACAGTTAAATTTATTGTAATAAATTAGATTACTATAAAATCTAACTTATCCAGAGCTTTGTCAGTTGAAAATGTCTATTAACTGTCTCTCCCACAGCATAATAACTTATAATCATAATAATGAATGTGTGTGTGAAGGCCTGAGGGTACCCAGCATTCTCATTCTGGAAATCATCTCCTTAGAAATTAATCAAACCCACTTTCTGCTCATTTCAACCTGAGGAGCTGAAGCTTAAAAGAAGTAAATAAGCCAACACAGACACGAAGGTCACAGATCAGATTCTGACAGTCTGCAAACTGAGCCCTTTCCTGACTTTTCATCAGAAGATTCAAATGTTCTTTGCATAACAGCAAATTACAGCTTACGCTTAGTTTATTAAGGTCAGCCATTTTTTTCCTAAACAGAACCTCATATTATTTTGTTATCAGAAAACACTCAAATAGAGTACAAGTTTTAAAATGAGAAATTTTGTGGCGTTATTTTCACATGTAAGAACTATACTATACACACTATCAAAAGAAACAAAAAAAAAGTAAGAGAGCATAGAGCTAGATTACCATAGGCAACTGTGGTAAAAATGTCAGGGGCGTCTTGGATTTTTCTTTGCAAGCGGATTTACCCTGCGTTGAAAAATACAAAAACACAAAATGGTTTAATTCAGCAATGCTAAAATGAGTGAATCTCCCCATATTTTTATGTGTCTCTGATACAGACTGGAGGAGATCCATATCTGTGCCCCTTACAAGGATGGTGACCCAAAAGAATGCAGACATTATCCCACAACGTCATTAGTCTCCCATGTGAGCCAAGCTTAGCTAACGATAACTCAAAGTCAGGCACAGCCAGATTCCGAAGAGGATGTGGAACAAGGTATACCACGGCTAATGTCAAATTGAAAGCACAGAATAGCAGAAAGATGTTTACATGCTTTTTATTGACTATGCAAAGGCATTCAACGATGTGGATCATAGCAACTTATAGATATGATGAAGCACAGAAATTCCAGAAAACTTCATTGTGCTCACGCAGACCCATGACACCAAGGAAGAGGTAGGCAATTGAAGAGAATGAAGGGATAAAGAGTGATTGGAAATCAGGAAAGGTGTGCATCAGAATCACTCCATCACTGTACGTATTCCATCACTGTGCTGAGCAAACTGAACCACAGCAAGAAGAACTGGCAGGACAGTTTTGGAAAGACTCATCAACAACCTGCAACAGACCGACGGCACAACCTCGCAAGATATTGAAGCACTTACTGATGAAGATTAAAGACTACAATATTCAGTGTGCATTGTATCTTATCCTAAAAAAAAGATCCTCACAAGTCGACCAATAAGCAACATAATGATAGTGAAAATATTGAAATCGCTAAGGAGTTTTGATTTCACTTGGATTCACAAACAGTGCCCACCAAAGTAGTAGACAAGAAAAGACTAGGTAATAAATCTGGTGCAAAAGACCTTTTTAAAAAAATCATTTTATTGGGGGCTCTTACAACACTTTTCACAATCCATCCATACATCCATTGTGTTGAGCACATTTGTACATTTGTTGCCATCATCATTCTCAAAACATGTGCTTTCTACTTGAGCCCTTGATATCAGCTCCTCATGTTTCCCCTCCCTCCCTGTTTTGCCCTCCCTCATGAACCCTTGATAATTTATAAATTATTTTGTCATGTCTTACACTGTCCGACGTCTCCCTTCACCCATTTTTCTGTTGTCCATCCCCCAGGGAGAAGGTTATATGTAGATCCTTGTAATCAGTTTCCCCTTTCCACCCCGCCCTCCCTCCACCCTCCCAGTATAGCCACTCTCACCACTGGTCCTGAGGGGCTCAAAAGCAAATATGTTGTCTTCAGGACTTAGGTGTGACTGATCCAAGACATGGCATTTTTAATGGCTTCAAGTGCACAGGGAATAATTAATAAAGGAGACTAAAAAAATTGATGCATTTGAATTGTGTTGGCAAAGAATATTGAACATACTATGGAGAAGAACAATCAGATCTGTCTCGGAAGAAGGACAGACAGAACGCTCCTTAGAAGCAAGGATGGCAAGACTTCATCTCGGGTAATCTGGACGTGCTATCAGGGGAGACCAATCCTTAGAGAAGGATGTCATGCTTGGTAAAGTAGAGGATCAGCGGAAAAGAGGAAACCCCTCAATCAGATACATCACAATCACTGCATCAATGGGTTCAAACATCAAGTGATTGAAACCATGGCACAGAACATGTTTTGTTGTGCTGTACAGGGCTTGTTATCAACGGGAGCCCACATAACAGCAACTATGAAGTAAACGAATTGGGAAGCCCGAGCGGTGTCGTGGGTTACAAATTGAGCTGCCATCCACCTGGTCTGCAATCGGAAACCACCAGCCACTCTCGAGGAGAAAGAGGAGCTCTCTTCTCCTGGAAAGATTTACAATCTCAGAAACCCCCTGGGGCAGTGCTACTCTGTCCTAGGAGATCACTAGGAGTCACAATGAACTTCATGCAGTGAGTGAGATAACGTAAACTACGTAGTGTCCAATATTAAAAACATAGGCTACAGAGGACATGACCTTGTAACTGAAAATCCTAAAGAATCCATGAAAAACAATGGGAGCTAATAAATGTGCAGCATGGTGGCAGGTTGCAAAAACAATACATGAAAATCTGTTGAATTTCTATAGACTGGGAATGAACAATCAGAAAATGAAATCGGTAAAATAATTCCCTTGATAGTCCCTCAAAGAAGAATGAAATACTTCATAGTTGTATCATCAATCCCACTGAGATGTAAAGTAGGAATTCGCTCTGAAGGCTGCATCTGTTTATGGTAATTTATGTGCTAGTTATGCTGCGCTCCTTAAATCTTGTCTCCACCCTTTTCTTCTGAGCTGGGCCTGAAGGGCTGACTGCTTCTGGTTTCTTGTGGGAATTGGTCAGTGAGAGATTGGAGAGGTAGAACTGAGAAAGATTGGGATATTTATTTCTGAGCTACTCCTAGTGTCTCACAGTTCTGAACAGTAGCCAAACCACCACCACCCCCAGCACACACACATACACACCCCGTTCAGCTCCCCTCAGAGAACTGCTCTTGTAAGACCCTACTTCTTACCAGGTTCTGAGAATGGCTTCAATTCCTGTCCCACCAGGCCTGGGGATGGTAATGGCTTCTGATTGCTACTCACATTTGGGTGTTCTAGCACCCTGTTGGTTCTCTTAACTTTGCTCACACCTCTAAAAATAATCTTTTTACGAATTTCCTTCACTTACATCCTTTTGAGCATGCTACTTGTTTTCTATTGGGACCGCCCCCCCAGAAAATTTTACATTAACAAAGCTAAACTTTCTAAAGGGCTTAGGTATTCCTTAAGCATTCTGACTTTGCGGTTCATTTTTATCTTGCTGGTTTTCATCTACTTGTCTATTGGAAGAGTTCTTGTATTGTTGGTATTTTCCAAGTATTAGTCTTCCTATGGAGTTTTCAAATTATTTTTGTTTTCAATATAGTTTTCAAATCTATTATTGTGTCTGATCAAAAAATTTAAATATTCTCACATTGTAAGGTCATTTATGGCAGACATAGTTGACATGTAATATCTCCCTTTTGGCCCATTTTAAAGTTGTTTCAGTCAAAAATAAAAGAACAAAAAGTGAAGGAGCAATATATGTGGCTTTAGCCTCTGGTAAATCCCTTCTGACATTGACCAGGGATGTGAATAGCCTTGCTATCGTGCAGAATGCATTGAAAAGTGGATTATTAAAGATACAATTAGGCTAAACATAACATCTTTTTATTGGATTTCCCTTTAGACCCGTTTTGAATCTGTTCTAGTTTTTAGTATTTTGGTTTCCTTTTCGGTTGAGGTTTTTCTCTGTTTTACTTTATCGTTGTTAGTTTTCTCTTAAAAATATTTTTCTGCATATGAAATCCAGGACAGATAACTCTACAGAGACAGTAACTGGAGGAATGGTTTCTTGGAGACTGGCAGGGAGGTTGGGGGAACTGGGAAGCTAATAACAATGAGGACAAGGAAGAAAGTGTTCTAAAATGGATTGTGGTGATGACAGTACAACTCTTCTTAGTACGACTGACTACTGAATTGTATAGCTGGTGAATTATATATATGCCAATAAAGTTGGGTTTTGATTTTTGTTTCTTTTTCATTAATCATCTTATTGGGGGCTCTTGCAGCTCTTATAACAATCCATACATCAATTGTATCAATCACATTTGTACATATGTTGCCATAATCATTTTTAAAACATTTTCTTTCTACTAGAGCCTTTGGTATCAGCTCCTCTTTTTTCCCTCACTCTCCAACCCTCCCACCCTTGTGGCCCCTTGACAAATTATAAATTATTTTCATATTTTACACTGACTGCTGTCTCCCTTCACCCACATTTCTGTTGTTCATACCGCAGGGCTGGAGGGTTATATATCAATCAATGTGATCAGTTCCCCTTTCTCTCCCTTCTCCCCCATCCTTCCCCCCAACCTCATTGTATCACTACTCCCATTACTGTTTCTGGGTTGTTTTGTGTTGTTTGTTTGTTTTTTAAGAAAGAAATTAATTTCATAAGTGCAAAAGTGCTGGGGTAGAGAGAGGCTAACAGCGGTTTCCTCTTCTCTGCTTACAATTTACAATGGATTTGTGGGGAACTCTCAAAGCTATTGGCTATTTGCATCTTTAACCTCCTGAAAGTTCTTCTACTGAAAATCAAAATGACTTTTTGTTTGTTTTAACTAATTTTAAAAGTTTTGTGAGCATGAATTTAATATGATCCATAACACAAATTTAAAATAATGTGGGTCATAATGAACTTTAAAAAGATGCAAAAGGCTTCTATTTGTTTGGAATATCTAATTTAAGAACCCAGGCGTCAAATTGCTTTACTGAAAAATGCCATGTCACTCTCTGCCTTCCACTCCTGAGATGAATATGTTAAAATCTCCTTCAGGAAATATGATTTAACCACCTGTTCACTTTTTCACACTGAATGAATACATAAGTAAATGTCAAGTAAAACTGGCATTTCCAGAAGTTTAATCCATTCTGTTTGTTTTAGGTTAGAATTGGAAAAACTTTCATCCTTTTCCAAAGGGGAAAAAACTAACAACCTGCATTCTAAATTAGCATAATGAAAAATATTAAAATTTCAAATCAACCAAAGCAATGAAATAGGGCCCCCTGCTGTTTAAAAATAGTATGCAATGAATAAAAATAATCTGAGATGGTCTAATTCAACATCACACCATAGAAATGAAGCAAAACTTAAAACTCAACTGACAGGGGGCTTTTAATGGGTGTTATTTGGTCATAGATAAGTATATTGGACACTTTTTAAATAAAAGCTCTTTGGGTGTAGATCATAAGAAATGATGGGTGACATCGTGAATAATGATCATTACAGAACATTTAACGGTGCCTGCCTGTGCAGCATCTGCACATAGACCAAAAAGCAAATTTCAGGACCGAACAAGAGGATGCTGCAGGACTGCAAAATCAGGAACGGTTTGCATCAACGTTGTATCCTTTCACCATCTTCCTCCATTTGTATGTTAAATAATCTGAGAAGCTGGTATATAGGAAGAAGGCAGCATCTCAAGTGGAGGAAGATTTCTTCTTCATCTGATATACAGAGGACACCACGCTGTGCGTGGGGAGGACTTGAAGCATTTATTGATACAGATGGAAAACGATAGCCTTCAGTATGGATTACCTAAACCTCCACCTAAAGAAAACAGAAATCCTCACAGCTGGTCTAACCAGCAACATCA